GGATCGATCTTTTACTACAATACCTTGCTGGGATTGCTGAGTTGGATTTTGTTATCGGAATACATGTCAGAAATTAGAAAAGCCTTAATACATGGGTAAAGATTTTGTACCTCTAGATGAATATCAGGGTAATTAAATCTTTTATATCTTCGTTAAGTAGTACTCCTCTTGCTGTAAGAATTAGGATTTCCCAGTTCATGTAACGTATTTGAGGCACTGCATGATGATTAGGGAGCAACACTGTGATGCTGTGCATGTACTAGCTTTTTGGGGACTGAAATAACACATGTCCGTGCTTTAACCGTAGTCCTGGCTCTCCGATTGAAATAAACAAGCAATTTGCTATTTTTGCATTAATTAATGTCTTCTCTGTTCTATTTCCCATAGCAGTAATTACTGTACCTGGCCTGGTGTCCAAGACAGAGAATCTAGCATGTAATGCAATGTGGATCATGGACCTTCAATCTTGTGCCAGGCGCAGTGAGATTTTTCGGAATCTATGTTCGTTAGGTGCCGTCATAATGACATTGGTCAAACGATATCAAAGTCTTTACTTGAGGGTTATTGGATGGTTATAAAGTAAAATTCTCGTGTTATTTTTTTTCGTCTACATCAATCTTTTGCTCTAATTAATATGAATGACTTGTTTTTAACTATCCTTGAGAAAAATCTTCACATGAACCGTGCACTATTTTTATTTTATTTTATTTTATTTTTAGTCATCAAAATTTTACTCCTTGTAATTTATTCTTTTAAGTTAAGTTAGCACAGCTTTGTATGCTTGCATTTCTTTCAATTTGCATTGTTACAAGGCAAAGCCTAGAGATTACTTCAGGATGGATGAGAAATCGATTTTGTGAAATCAAACATTAATTGTAGTTAAGAATATCAATTTAAATATGATGGATGAACCTGCAAAAAGAACAACAAAACATATCTCATCAATACATGAGTGCAGAAAACTTCAATTTGATTCATGAAGTTTCAGTTTTTCTACTCATTTGGTGGTCCCTTGGATAATGAGAGATGAGAGAGAAAGTCATCAAAAAAATATTGAGAATAAGACAGGTGCTTGAATGACTATATTCTAACCACCACAAAGCTGGTATTTGTGTCAATTTGTTCATCTTCTCAAGAAGAGTTCAATTGGGATGGTATTTTTCTATAACCATGCTGGAAATAGTAGATTAAGCTTCATTAATGTTTTTTGATTCATTTAATTTCTTGTTTGTAAGAAAGATTAAAGGGTATTCAATAGTTGAAAATGTGTTTATTGAGGTATTTGTGCTGTTTACGAGTAAAAATAATTTGTGAAATAAGATTTTAGAGTTCAAAAGCACAAATGTTAATTTTTCAATCAATAGTAGTAATTGGAAGATTTTCCAGTATACAACTAGTCATCTACTAGAGTGGATAAACTGTCACCTATTTGAAACAGAAAAAGAAAAAAAAAAAAAGAATTGGACTACATCAATTCTTTTAAAACATGCTTTCCAAGCACAGGGACCTGGATTTTTTGATGAATTGGCCAAGTGCGTGGGCTTAGCTTATCAACCTCATCAAACCTCATCAGTGATTGTTTTTTTTTTTTTTTGTCTTTTTTCTATTTAAATATCGATTAATACTTTTTATTTTTTAAATTTTTTAGTTTAACTTTTTTTAAATGGAAATGTTTTTTTTTTAATTTCATAATGCTTCAAAGAGATTATTATAATTTGTCTAAATCTTTTTCTCCTATATTTTTTATATATAAGTTGTATTTGCATGGTGTATTTATATAAAAAAATCATTTGTTATTAGTAACAATAATTAACTTCTAAAATAAAATAAATAAAAATGTATAAAATAAAATGGATAGTCAGTGTGAAACATTTGCATTTGCATTTATTTTTAGATTTTACTATGAAGATTAACCTTTTGTTTTAGTATTTATTTAGCATTAATAATTTTTTTGACTTATTAGCTCATATTTTTTTATTAAGTATAAATATATTTTTATTAAAAAAATTATGATACCCAAAAACATATTGATAACACAATCAGTTCCTTCTTTTGTGTTAGAAATTAATTTAAAATTTTACCTTTATGTAAAGTGGATAAATGTTAGTATATTTTATATGCAATCAAAATTAATAAATAATACATAAAAATATTTTAATTTTTAATATTTTTTGTTATTGGATTGACTATGAGATTTCATTTGTCACTAAGGTTTGAACTTAATACCATGAAGATCATTACAAAAACTCTAAAAGATACAGTACATTGAAATTATTTTTTATATCCTTAAAAAAACAAGATCCCTTGGATTTAGGGGTAATTTAGTATTATGATCATGGTTCATTGCTATGCCCACATTTCATCTCCTCAGCCCACATTTCAACGGGGCTATGCTATGATGATAGTGAGGATACGTAGGGATGGTGGCACAGTGGAGGGAGCACTAATGGTGGCGGTGCCTGAGGAGAAGTGAGTGTAAGCTCCTGGGAAACAAGACCCGGATTTAGGGCAATTAGGAAGCGGGGAATTTTGACCTCCCCGCCTGGGAATGTGGTCACTTTTGGGTGTGAAATCAAATTCAGTGTGCTAGCTTGCTTTGCATAAAATATTTTTGATGAATATAAAATATTTTAATATAAATATCTTATAACATTTCATAAATAATGACTTGAAAAATATATAATCATGATGGAGTTAGAGATAATCACTCCAAGTATACTATTTTTTGATATAAATAAATTTTTAAATATTAAATTTTACAATTTAAAATTTAAAGAACAACAACAATTGAAATGATGGTTGAAAAAAATTAAAAAAAAAATTTATTTATTTACAAGACTATCATTATATTAAATTAATAATTAAAAAGCCTCTAAACCTAAAATATAACAAAAATACCACTAAAAAACCTTTCTTTCCCAACTTTTTTCTCACCGGGACCACCATTTCTACCATATCTCCTCCTCTTTCCTTTGTTCTGCACAATAATCTCTCCCCTTCATCATTGCAAAAACGGTGTTGTCACCTTCATCCTCTAATATCCAGCCACCAAAAACGTATAGCTCAATCTCCTTACAAAATCGAAGCCACTCAACGCCCTAAATTAGATGGCTTTTGAACATTTTAACTAGAGTTATTTAGACGACAATATATATTTACACTACATGGAAACATGGGGAATATAGCATTCTGCCATTAAGATGGAGTGAATGAATTGTTGATTGGGGAATAAACACAAGATAGCCATAGTAGTCAAAATGAACACTTTTTCATTATTGTGAAGAATTGGCTGAACAATATGGCATGATACGACATCGATGAACAATCTATACCTTTGATTTAATTGCATAATTCCATAATTCCACCTATTTCTCAGTGTCTTGTGAGTAGTCTTAAAATCCAAGAATTGTCATTGAAGGATATTAAAGGAACTGTTGAGAACTTAGAATCAAATTATGTTATTTTGATGGTTGGGTATTGATTAATATTTAAAAGTGTATTTTTTATCAAGTTTTATATCTTTATTTTGCACTTAAAGCATTAATAACTCATTAACTAAAACATGTTTTATAATAACATATCTAATAATATAAGATACATTTAATTTATGGTAAATATTTATTTTAAATGCAGGTGTATCACATAAATAAAATGATTGATTGATAAATTTAAGAACTGAAGTTGAAAGGACAAAGAGATGGTCAAACTTAGAAAATAGATGTCGGTGCAGTCTAAACTAGAACACTGTTCGATAATTGGGTCATATTTAGAGCTGTAGATCTTGAATTTAGGTCTATTTTACATGGATGGAAAGGGAAGACATAGGCCAACAACTTTTATATGGAGCCCAAGACTTAAAAAAACTATTTTCAAGTCCAAATTGTAGATAATAAAAAAGAAGTCTGAATTTGTCTTGTAGCCAGAGCACTGTTCAGTGTCTAGCCCATATTTGGAGTTCTAAAAGTTCAAATGACCTTAATTTTTTACCCAAGAAAGTTGAGATAATTTTCTATAACTTTCATGTTTTCAAATGGTTCCAATTTTGACGTTACCAATGATGTTTTGGGCAGATAAGAGAAGATAAAGATTGTCACCAAGTCAAGAGTTGGTCACTCACACATCAATTAGTTATCAAATCAATAGTTTCCAATTTGCCTATAAAAGGAGGCATTTGCCATGCATTTAGGCATCTTGGTTTCCAGATCAAGATCATGCTCTTGCTTTCTCTCTTTGTATTTTTTGTAATGTTTATGCTTT